TGGAACTCTTATCAGACAATTACAATTAGAGAAGGAGAACAACGTGGGACAGATTTACAAGCATTTGCACCACCGCAATCATATTTTCTGGATTACACCAACACTTCCTGCAAAATTTTAATCAATTAAAATTTAATCAATTAAATTGATTAAAAAGTAGGCTACCAACTTTATTTGCCCTTGAGCATGGTAAAATTGAATATATGAATATCTTCTTCCTGCGTTTTTGTAATTTTTCTTCTTTTTATAATATGAAGTATTTATTTATTTTTATTCAAACAAAAAAAAAAAAAACATACAAAAAAATAAGACCTGGTGGAACAAAGAGCATGTGTATATTGATACCCATAGAAATGGTAACTGAATATGAAGCAAATCTAATATTTAGAAAATGTAACCCCAAACTACCATCAGTTTAACTGATATTCTCATTGAAGTCAAGATACAATTCTTTTTTTTGGGCATGCAAAACATTTGGGAAATACAGACACTCATCTGTGAATCATAAAGGCATATAGCAATTTACTGTTTTACCATATGTTAGCTATTCATCAATGCAGCGAACTGTCCTCTCATTCATGCTTGGAAAAATATCATAGTAGTTACACACCTGATGGCTCAAGTATCTTTATTTTTAGATGGCACTACAATAAAGTCTAAAAGTTACAAAGATCAAAAAGTTTTGATGTAGAGACATTGAGCTGTCACTGAAATTTTATTAGATTTCGTAATCGCTCATTGCTTTCCATGGAACCTGGGTATGCACAATTGCAAGCGTTTGAATAATGTGATGCACAGCTGTGGGCTGGCTTCCTTAACCAACTCATGGTGCTTAGTGATCCTGACGATGCTGATGAGCTACTGCAGAACACAAAGAGGTTTTCTACCAGCAGATGTCCCTTTCATTAACGTGTAGGGAACATTATCAAGAAAACAGAGCCAGACGATTCAGAGAGGCATCCAGACAAAAGACGAGTTGCAATGAATATAACTTGAAAGATTTCTATTGGAAACAGGTTAAAGGTTTTTTCTTGTTAAAACATTCAGGCATTGAAAAAGATAACCCAGAAAAGTTGTACAGTCACCATCCTTAGAGGTGCTCTGAGCAAACTGGCCTTCCACTCTGAATAACTCTATCATTTTGTGGCTTTCTTCCATACCATTATTTGGCTCTAATTAACACTTCGTTCATGTTTTCCACATTATAAAAATGAGATTAAAAAAAAGTATATATATTTGCTTATTTTTCTTTTCATCATACATACCCAACTATACTATTGCCCTTGAACAGCAATACAGATACTCGGTACCAGAACTTTATTATTTTTTTTAATCTTCCTTCAGTCCAGCAGGGTGTTGGCGTTAGCATTCTCGTGGATCTTATGGTCAAGCACTTCATTTTGGATATTTCCAACATTTTCTTCATTATCACTGAACATTAGAAGCAATGTTTTTTTTCAGGATTTTAAAATTTTTCATGGAAACAATTAGTCTGAAGAAGGAAAATGAGACCATTATTACACGCAGTTAAGCTCCTTGATTTGCTAAGTTTCAGTTTAGCAACAGTGAGGTACCAAGAACCTACGGGAAGCTTCCTGACAACGCGTTCCTCATCAGGAGCTGATGTACTCTAATCCTGAAATTCCAGATGCATATCCTACATAGGAACTTGTCTACGTCCTTTTCTGGACTTTCTTCATTCTTCAATAGGATGATGTAGAAGAAATTTAATGAAGTAACTAATAGTTTTCCTCTCAGAACTCCACTGTTATGGGAATCAAGAGCAGCCAAGAAGAAAACCTGAGTTTCCTTACTTTGATTATCTCAGTAAAGCAAATAGTATGTCCCACCAAGAGACATGAATGCATCTGCATGCTGAAACTGTGCTTTTTACATAAAAAATTATTTATTCTCAGAATAGATATGCAAGTGAAAAAATGATCCAGGTCCTGTCTTATGCTCCAGTGTAAGAGAACAGATGAAGCATGAGAAACTATAGCTACTGATTTGTTCCACTGCTTGCAGAGAAACAGCTCATTTCTTTCCGTATTATGCAAAAGACCAGAAGTGATGGGAGGAAGCAGAGCCATGTTACCGTCTCCCGACAAGTTCAGAGGTGTAACTGATCACTGGACTGGGAAATGTTTGAGGTGATACATACAATATTTCCTAGGCAAGTAAAACACCAGAAGAGAAAGAGCTGTTTGAAGAAATACACTCTTCTTTCTGGCTAGCCAAGAAAAGGGGTGGAAGTGCTCATAGCTATCAGAATCGATTAAGAATCAAGAAACTGAGAAATAAAGCTAGTCAAGTTAAGAAAAACATTTTACCATCGTGCTTCAGCCACTCATTCTTTAGGTAACATTTTTTTGAAACAAAACACATACAGTCAGGTTAAATATGGCAATGTTGCTAAAAGTGGGGATGCACCCTTTTCCAAATACTCGAAAATTCCCAAGTTCCATTAGCATTTAATGAAATCCAAACCTCTCAGCTTAAAAAATCTCAGCTGACTCTTTCCCTTCCATTCAAATGATTATACACTTCTTAATTCTTCAACTGTAAGTTGTTCTGAAAAATGCAGTAACACTACAGAAAATAACAGCATAAATGATTAATAAATTATTCAAATATGAAGGCTGCCATTCTATTGTCTGCACGGAATAGTAATTGTAAAAATATTAATCTCATAGATGTTAATATTGATTTATTAGATTTCAAATCACTGTCAAAAATATGCATCAAAAATGTAGCACAGAGGATCATTAAAATATTAAAAGAAGGAAAATGAGAGAAAACTGAAGATTCATTCAATTCAATCCTATTGAATTTGAACTATTTTACATCTTTATTGAAACTTGTCTAATTAGAATAAATAAAAATATAATAGCAAAGATTGGTAATTGTAAAAATTTAATTATTAGCAGGAGTTGTGGACCTGTGGGGGGAAAAAACACATTTTGGCAATATGAAATACTATTATATGAATAAAACCAGAAAATATGACTTGCAGACACACAAATTCAACAAAGTGTAATAATTTCTACTGCAAGGACTACTGGCAATCTCTATTATGAATATGTGTATTACATATTGCCCGGTGGGAGACAGATAGGCAAAGTCTGTTTACTTATGTATTTGGCATAATGGAAAATAAACAGGTGTTTGTTAGTATATCATTATTCAAGGAGCACCACTGCAAAATAGATTTTTCAAAGGAATTGACTCATGAGAAATAATGTAAACAGTGAAGTCTAGATCTCAGCTAGCTCTACAATGGCTATGCAGGGATTTAATAATAGTGGCAATACTGTAAGATGTAAACAGCAGCCCCAAAAATAAATTTGCTAGGATATAATACAGTGAGTTAATAGGAGCAACAAGGAAAACTTTAGATCCTAAACTTTATTTAGAGTATATTACAGAAAATAAAAAACACTGCCCCACTCCTCCCATAGCAGCTCCCTAACAGTGAAAAGAATGAAATGATTGGATACTTTTCTGTAAAATGAATCTCAGATGCCTGGGGTATTTCAATCAAAAAGGAATAACACTAAAAATTAAATATACTAAAGATATACTGTAGGGATGAATCCCCTATTGATCTATGCAGTACATATTTCATCCCTATGCTACTACTGTGATAAAAATAATTTCTGCTTGGGAAATGTGACAATACAAAATATTCTTGGAGCATCCGGAAACATATGGACATTCAATTGATAACTCCAGCTCTGATTTAAACCATTTAATGTAATTTGCTATTTACTATGATTTAAAAGTAGATCCCATATTTGTCCTGTAAACGCAAACAGAGATGACACTGTTCATAGCCTTTGAAATAAGACAGTTGTATCACTGTAGAGATGGCCGCTTTGGAACTCCTTTGTTCTTATTTCTGGTTCTAGCTAATAAAATAAATTAATTGTTTTGTAAGTCTTTAGTGCCTTAAAAGAGCAGGATTGTATTTTGAATACAATTTTCATAAAGATTACATACCATAATGCTGCTAAATCAGACAGTTACTTACAGTGAACTGCTAAGAACACACAGCAAATACTGATCTTCGACCTAATTCAGCAAACAACAGGGAAGAAGAAACTTCTGTATTGCAACAAGCAAAAGATGTTCTTTTTGACTGTTAATCAGCAATTCTTGCTTCCATGGATAATTTAAAAGGTCACTACCTGAAAAATAGTGATTTCCTCATCTTTGGCTACTTGCGCTGTTTCATCTATTAACGAGCACAATTGTTCCTATGTCACATGGCTATATACCTGTTCATCTGACAAGATTTTGGAATGGGCATCAGTGGTACAACTGATACAACAAAAACATTCTCAGGATTTGGATCTATGTCTGCATCAGAATTTTAGAGAAGACATTGATACTCCAAAATTTTGAACATAAATATTGGCTGATGGCAGCCAGTATTGTCTCACCTTCTCTTCATTATTTTTCTTATGGCACATTATCCAAAATAACCATTGCACAGTCTTCTTCCTTCCCTCCCCCCTCCCACTCAAAAGAAAACATCATATTTATTTTTATTTCTTGACACAGACAAGCACTGGCATATTATGAGACTTTATTAAACCAAAGTTGTGGCCAAGAAAGAAAAAGCAACACAACTTCATCTTCTGCAGAAAATACAGAATGAACAACAGTCCTGGATTTAAAAAAAAAAAAAGTAACAATTAAAAAAATAATCACTGTTAATGTAGAACTTTTGAACATTTCTGTAGAACAGTAGAACAGTCCAATATTGGGGCTTTTCTTTCTTCATTTTTTTTTTTTCCTCCCATAAAATATTCTTTTAGGACAAAGATGCAAGTAAAAACATTGAATGATCCTTTAACATTACTTACAAATGTTCACAAATACCACATTTACCTTAACAAGAACTAGTTGGAAAATTTACAGTATAATGGGGCTTAATTCATAATAATGTCCTTTGTCACAAAACAGGAAAAAAATAACAGCCGTTAACACTAGCTTACTTGTGGATGTGTATACTAGTGAACTGGGGGCACTGTACACGGGAGATCCCTCCTGGTTTGCCTGGCACAGCAGCACCCTGCCTACAAGAGAGAGAGAGAAAGTGGTATCTGGTTTTGGAACACTCAAACTAAACCTCAGTTTTATCTCAAAACAGAAATAAAGCCAAACTGAAGCAGTGCAGTGGAACAGAGGCCCTTAATGTCCTTTAATTTCACCAAACAGAAAGAGCCTCAGTAAGCACGTAAAATTTTACATTGGAAAAAGCAAAACACAGACATCCCCCCCAAATCCAAATGCCCTCTTTATCACATGGGGAAACTGGCGCAGGCTGTGTTCGTTAGCAGCACGCCCAGGTACCTCACCTTGCTGCAGCTGCTCTCTCCCTCTCTGCCCTGCAACTCCAAAGCCTCAGGAGCCCTGCTGTGAGCTTCTGCAAAGCTCCCCCACCAACCCCTGCTTCTCATCCCCAAACTCTGGCTGAGATGAGAGGCTATCGAGCAAACAGATAAATCAGACTGCAAAGCTCATATGTACAGACCAAGCATGATCTCAGTAATATTACTTAAACTAGCACTGGTGTGAGAGAAACCAAAATATGACTGCGCATGTAAAGACTTCAGTGTTCTTTGCATGAATGAGAAATACTTAAACATATTCTGTGTTCCACTATACAGGTGGACTGAGGATTAAGAACAAAACAGAAGAAAGAAAACCATCAAAAAAGGAAAAAAAAAAAGTAAAAATAATAAACAAATCAATTTGAAACAGCTCTTCTTTGATGCATTTCCATTTTGAAGAAATCAACAAAGTTTAGAATTGTTTTGCGTTTGTTTTAATAAATTTAAATCAAATACCTGGCGATGTCAGCATCTTTCTCTGTGGTTATACCCTAGCATTCTTAGATGAATAAAGATTGTTTAACGTAATTCTTTATGGTAGGAAAAAACCTCTCCACCTGCACACCTCCAGGAGGAGCAGGCTATGATGCATCTGTTTTTTGCAGAAACGTTTATATATATATATGTATACAATATAGAGAGTATGAACATACACTGATGTACTTTAAGCTGCCAGAATGTGTGAAACACACAGTTCCAAATATATTAAATTTACCTGAAAATTTCAGAGACAATTAAGAGAAGTCATGCGTTGACTTGCAGGCAAAGTAACTCAAAAGATCAGAAGTGGCTGATCCAACAAGAGCAACCCTCAAACTACATGCAGTTACCAAACCTGATTTATTTATTTATTTCAAAAACAAGTCTGCAAATACTTTTCTATCATTAACTTTTTTTTTTTTTTTTTTTTTTTTTTATTTTAACTGTCACTTGCAGCTGTTAAATGAGCTGGAAATATGCAGAATACTGAAAAAAAATAAAATTCTGGTAATTGCAACAACACAGTTAAGTGCGTGAGCACTGGAAATCTCATGAAACTTTGTGCTTTCAAATTCTCAGACCATAGTATAAACTTCATTAATGGGCTTTGAAGATACTTGCTTTTTTTTTTTTTTTCTTCTGCTATTTTTTTCAGCCATTCAGTACTAGTCTTAAATGCAAAACAAGGCCTTTGTTTGTTCTGTCTTACGTGTGGAAGCTGCGAAATAAAGGAACGTACACCTGTAGAGATCAGAGATTCCAATAGCAATCCCAATTTTCAGACTGGCAGATGACCAACAGTAGGAAACACAGGAATATGGATGTATTTAACACCATATAGATGCTTCTACAGAGGCCTGAAAATATGAACTGAAGGTATAAATGAGTTCATCCAGCTGAGTGAAATGAAAAAAAAGGGAAGGAACCATCAAAAACAGTAATTTTCATGTTTTAAAAGTAATTTAAGTATCATGACTTCAAGTACACTTAGCAAGTACAGAATGCTAATGGTTTTCAAAAGTTGAGGATTATATTTCATGTATCTTATCCAACAAATTAAAACTTTGCTTTTTCTATGGTGTGCAATTAGAGATGTTATTATTCTTTGCAGTTAACATTCTTATTAAAATTTCTCTGTTGCGATCACATGAGAGTCCAAATTTCCTCTCTCTGGGTTCATTTATAATGAAATGCTTTAAAATGGGTGCTTTTTTCATCCATGCTGCCAGATTTTGTAATTATATTTGGACATTCTCCATTTGAATTTGTACATGAAATTATCAGTTACGTCACCATTATTAGATATTTTGGAAAAAAAAATTGAAACTTTTAATCTAATTTTGGGAGAAAAATTGACTTCTGCTTCTCATTTTTTGTATTAAAAATACTTAAATTTTTATTAGTAGAACAGGGTGAAGATGGAACTATTTTCAATAAAACACTTCTGTGAAAACCTCAGAACATGAAAACAATCAGTGAGTTCCCTGATGAAAAAAAAAAATGTTTTCTTTTTCCTCTAGAGTACTGAAAATTCTACCTTGATAGAATGAAGATTTTTTTTAAGAAAGAGGATTTGAACATAAAGTTATTAATATTTCTTTCCAAACTATAATTTAATAATATTGTGGAGCTGATGAACTTCAAAAAAAATTACAGTCATGCAAGAGTTCATTCGTAATTCTGCAGTCCCTTCTGTAGCAGCATACTTCGAGCTGATACTTCCTCATTAAGAAGCATCTGAACTGCTTTTTCACTTCTTTCTATTATAAGCATTTACATATTTGGTCACATGTGACTAGTGGTATGGGATTTTGGAAATCATCAGCTGAAAGCGTCTCCCGACTCTGTCAAAAGGCTCAGAAAAAAAAAAAAAAGCATACATATTTGAAGAGCATATTCATCACTAAAGGCATACTGTGGCTCAGAGGAGAGCTTTGGACAGACCTGTGGCAGAAAGGAAGCTGGGGCAGCCTAGCTGCTAGGTGTTATGGTAGGAGAGCAGCCTGTAGTGGCTGAGCCATGGGCTGTCCTGCACACAGCAGGGACAGGCAGCTGGGCTGGAGCAGGGCACATTGGCAGCACATGATAAAACTGCAAATAACCCCCCAGGACAGGTGCATCACTCATCCTTGGCTTAATGGCAGGCAGCAAGCACAAAAATGTACTTCCCAAGGTCACTCTTCAATGTTTTCTCTTACAGCTCAACGTTAAGAACATACAGTTTGATTAGGTCCTTTGGTTTAAGAATTATAGTTATTTTGAGGAAATAATTACTCTCAAAATATTCAGGGCAGTGAGGAAAATTATTTGAAATTATTAATATATTCAAGACCCTAAAAATTCAGTTCCAAATCATTCGAAGATATGGAACTAAAAGTATTTTTCTTGTTTTTTTCATAGTTTCAAAAGTAAGTTTTTTTGTGTAGTTCCTATTCTTGTGACTTACACAAATTTATCTGTAGAGCATAAGCAGAAATGTAAATATAATAACCCACAGACTACTTCCTCATACGAGGACTATTGCAAAGTTCATGGTATTCTGTGAACACTCAGGTAGCTCAGGAGTAATCAGACTGACCAGGAATCCATCAACAATGGAAGGACTTCTCAGAAATTTATAAGGGATCAGTTCTGCAAAAAAATAGTTTCTTGGTCAGACTGGAACCACTTTGTAACCAGCAGTACAGACAATTTAAAAGTAAAGATCTGGAATAAGCTTATAAGAGTTTGCACAACTGGCTGGAATCTGGCATCCTTTGAGGACGTATAAATTGGAACAACATTTTTAGAAGAAAAATTCAAATCATTTTTTTAAAAAATACGGTGCTGAAGCAAACAAAATCGATAACGTAGCAAGACCTTGACTGTGGGAATAGCTGTCTTTTGTCACATAAAGAAGATGGAACTTTCAGAAACCTTCACTAACAATTGTATAAAGTTCATAAACAGTTACCAAGAACCCAAGGTCACAGTACATCAGCTCCCACTACCTTTATTTAGTACATCCGCTGCCAAGCAAAAAGTTTCCTGTTTACAGTGCTGTTATTTACTCTACAAGTATCTTTAGAGAGTTACAAAAAAGAAGAGGACAGAATAGTACTCCATGACCATCCAGGGAAAAAACATGACGTAAGTGCAAGAACATAAGCATTTTCAGTGGCAGAAATTAAGTCGATATTCAGGGCTGGACTCCACTGAGTATTAGTGCACAGGTAAGTAAAATGAGAACTTACAACACAAAAACTAAGGTTACTGCATACAAGGAGATTTTGTGAAGATTATACCACTCTTGTCTGTTGCACACTCAGGTCCCTTGATAAAGCAGCTCTTCATTATAAACATCTATTCTACTCTTACCAATAGGACTGTCTTCCTGCTTTTGGCAACCAAGCACCAGGTTGGTTGCTAAAATGTAAAAAAGAATATTTGTATAATGTTTTATCTGAGTTATCATAGATTGTTAATTTATAGCTCTAATATAAAAGCTGCATTGCTTTTTAAATTCAGCAATTTCTATTTCATTTTGCCTTTCTTCCAGTACAGCTAGGTGGTTTATAGATCAATTTAGTCCCTGTACTAGTTCTCAGTCATTCTGGTCCCTGTTTTCCTTCTACCTTCTGCAATATGTGGTTATTCCTATACTCTCAACAATATCTATTATACCTCTACTTTTCATTTCTATGTACAACATCTGAAGAAACTATGAGGCTGTATCTCTCACAAACATGTCAGCATATTTGTTAGTTATCAGAGACCTCATAAACAAACCATGAAGCACCTGATTTGCTGTTTTAAAAGTATAATTAGGCCTTTCCAGCCACAAATAGAATTACTTTTGTGCTGCAAAGGAACACTGATCTTTAATGAGTTATTTCAAATATGCCACAGAAATGGATAAAGAAGACCTAACTAAAAAGGCCACTGTTATACAATAATACAGAATGTTAGCATCCATTATCCCATCTGACAAAGGAGTTTGAAGAGCTTCATATACACTAGTTGGTAAGTGTTAGCTTGGCCCTTCATTACCAACAGTCAAACTCCATGGCATTAGTACACTTTTGAGAATGTTTACAAAAAAGTGCTTCTTGAATGTCATTGGTTACTAGTGAACTTTTTGTAAACAGAATACTCCTCCTTCAGACTTCAACACGACCATTTCTGGATGCCTGTATTGATTATTTAAATACTTCAATTTGCAG